TGTATCATGCAAATCTAATGATTGATAAAAAATATATCAGACGATTAATCTTAAAGTATTTATAAGAAAAAATGGGCCACAGAGAGATAGCCCTCAGTGAATCACAGTGGATCTCACAAACCCAGCTCAATCTTTAGTTAACATTTTTTAAATATAAAATGTTCCTTAAATATAGATAAAATAGATAGATAGATAAAATTTAATTTTATATTAAAACACAAGGTCCGAGAGACACACTGCGGCTCAGGCAAGGGCAAAATATTACATGACTCATTGAGGATTAAGATTACATAAAAAACATTTACCTTTGGTATTGTCTTTTCGTGATCCCTTCCTAGATGGTTCTTCATTTCTTGTGGGACATCGCGTTGATCGTTTTTGAGGTAAAGACTTACTAATGTACTTAGAACAATTATTGAAGTTTGATGACGTTAATGCCCAGCGATCTCGTGGAATTTCTACTTTCTCTCCATTTATAACATGGGAGAAGATTTTTAAAATAAATCGACTCGCAAAATGTACGTCACAAACGTAACATTTATTTGTTAGCATCTTGTCGTCTCGTGGAATGCATCGCATCCACTCCTCAATCTTATCGCTAGGAGCATGGAAGAAATGTCTCTTCTCGTTCGATGACTTATATCCTGCCTTATATCTTGGCACAAAGCACGTTGGCATTTTTATGTAGCTAAAAAAACAATTATTATAGGTCAAAATCACTTACTTCAGTATATATCTAGCAAGAACAACGCTCTCCTGATAACAGTGGCGCCAACTAGCGGCAAATATTGTCTCTAGCTAAGTTTGAACTATTAGTCGAAAGACCAGTTAGTTAATCTACCGACTCTGGAACGGCTCACGTATTTGTACAATATAAGTGACTCGTACAACGTGGAATTCATATAACACGGAATTATCTACAGTGTTGTAGGAGGTCTACTGTATAACACAGAAAACGAAATATTAATACTGTATTTTGTAAGTTCTCCTTTCCCTTGATGACTGCATAATACCACCGATATTGTGATGTAACCTCGTTTCAAATTGTGGTATCAGACATTTGAGTGCTTGCTGAAACTATGCGAATCTTCTTATCTGCAACAGTTTTATCCATTTATTTAGAGAATTTTAAGTAGGATTCAGGTACTAGCTATGTGAGTGGCAGATTAAATTTCAAGTCATCTGAGAAAAAATTCTTACTTCTACTCTTCTGCTGACCACCTGGCATATTTTCTTTGTCATGAGAGGCTTATTTTAGAGGTGACGATCTTTGTTTGATCTCAAGTCCTGTTTGGAGTAATCTCCTCCTCACTTAACGCCTTTTTACTCCATTATCCTTTTTTCCATCATCTTTTAGGTCTATAGATGAGGAATGCTGCTTTTGAGGCATAAACGCTTCAAAACATCGTTTCTGGTTAGTATAGATACTTTTTTCATCCACTTCCAATACTTTAGGTTAGGGCTTCTTAAACTATGGGTCGCAGCCCCATTTCGGGTTGCTTAGCGAAATTTTCGAGTCGCGAGATTTTAATGCAAAATATTGAAAATAATTTGTGAGAGTTTGAAAATGGCACGCTTTGTGTAATAGGTTTTGTGAGTTGCGCTTTGTGTCACTTCTGGTGCAGCGAGACAACGATTCAGTAACACTGTAGTGTGAACTAGTGTAGTGTTGTCGCTTTTCAGTGTATTCAGTTGTCTCTGTTCCATTGTAACACAAGAGTGAACTGTGGTAGTATACCATTATTGTTTTTGCAAATTTGCATATATCTTTATTTTATATTTGGGGGGCGCGAAAAAATCACAGTCATAAATGGGGTCGTGAATAAAAAAGTTTAAGAAGCCCTACTTTAGGCTATAGTGCCTGTTTTGGAGAGCTCAGACAGCAAATGAGACACTGACTGATTACAGTTCAGTCGAGAAACTATCTGTTGTATAGAAAACGATTTTATTCAAGCAACAACCATATACCATTTTTATGACACTTTATGAAATTTAATTATGTATGTTAAATTCAACATGATTTTCAAATTATTCGCCATTATTTTTGTCTACGTTTTTTTAATTAATCATAATCTGATAACCACTTCTTAAATATCTCCGAAGCCTTGGTCCCTATATAACATTGAACACATGACAGGATCATGAAGAAATAAGTTCTAATAACTTTTTTAAATAGTAAGAAAATAAACGGACTTATTAAATCACATAATCTGTGACATTTATTTAAAATTTTGTTTTTTACACTTTTTAGGTTGGTAATTATATGCTATACAATCAATCATCAATGTGAAATTTTACAAGATGTAACTTGATAAATCAGATAATGAGCAACGAATATTGATACACATTTGTGTTTTTTTTTTTTTTAATTTAAAATATTTCTTCGAATATAAATTTTGAACGAGAACGTAAAGTATAACTTGAGTAGAGATATAGTGCATAATTGCTACAATATGATACAAAATATCAATATTTTGCTTGTTAATAAAAGAATTTGTAACATTGCGGTAATAAAAATTAATATTTCATTAATTTGAATATACTTAAACAAAATTTTCTCATAAAAATTCTCCAAAACAACTTGTTCCCAAGTCTTAATCGTTCAAAATCCCACGCTTGAAATATGCATATTCCCACGCTTAATGTTTCTATTCCTCGAAATGCATGGTTTTATCAACATGAGACTGTCATTTCGTGTGGTTTCGGTACTAATTATTTTACATAATAATACGGTACGAGTAATAAGTTAGTATCATTTGAATTTAAAAATTAAGATTTCCGATCTTTTAATTAAATTACAAAGAATGAGAAACGAAGGTTTTCGTTATCGTGTAAATTTCTGGAAATCCCGTAAAAACTCAAGTTAATTTTAAATTTGTAATTATAAGGAAACCAATTGTAGATTTAAAGAATTTTTTTTTTAATTCTAGATAAAACGAGATTTTCTTTTGAGAATTGAAAATAACTTCCAATATTTTTAGTTTCTGTTTGGAGTGTGTGTGTAATATACTTCAAGATAGACATATTTAATTTTAATTAATAGTTCATTTCTCACATATAAAGATTAAAATATTAAAATAACAGATATAAATTTAAGTTTCTAATATTCCTATTTAAAAATTAGCTTATATGAAAATAATTTGATTTTCTAATCAAACTAATAAACAGTTCATATCCTTTTGTAGTTATAAAAAGGGTAAGTTATTTATGAATACCAGATCTAATGCCACCCAAATAGTTCTAATGCAGTCTTTCGAAATAATTCTTGAAGGACAGATATTTAAAAATTATATCTAAAAAAAGAGAGAGAGATTTAAACAGACGTTTCGTGTTTCAGTCCTTCTAATTAAGTTGCCTAATTAGCATTGATTAGTATCGCCCAGAGCGGTTATGAAATCTGTCACAGAAACTATAACTTAGTTATTATTAAATCTTAGATTAGTCGGGATTCATCAATGGATCGTCAAGTATTTATCTGATATATCTATCAGTCATAATTACGCGAGAATATTTTTAATGTATCATAATGACAGAAAATATAGATTTTTTTAAACTTTCTCGATTAGTTATTGCATGAAAGTATTGCAACTTTCCAAACATTATTCTTTCTCGATGTCTCAGAAAAGCACATTAAAGTTTTCTAATATCAATTGTACACATTTTATTGGGCTGCAATTTGAAAAAAAATTATAGAGCTATAAATTTCCACCATCGTCCGTCTCTCAGTCTGTCCTTCCTTAATCTCGAGAACGGAGTTAGATGAAAATTGAGAACAGATATGAAAAGCTTAGGGGTAGAAGGCCCCTATTAATTATATACGAACTTCCAGTTTTCACTGAAACTCGCGCTATTTGAATTCAAAAATTTTATGTTAAAAGGTGTTAGATGACCGGCACGACTCTACTGCCAGCAAGAAAGGTATAATGTACTGTACAGGAGCGAGCAAGTCTCCTGTACAGTACATTACTCCTGTCTACTAATTTGAGGTGGAGAGCATATAATTTAAATTAAATAAATTAAAAATTGCAGCCCGGCACTGTGACGATGTCATAATAAATAATTGCTCGTATAAATTGATTTAAAAAATCGTTGATTCAAATCTAGAAGGGAATTAGTAAAAATTCAGAATATTTTAATTTTCGCTGTGGTATAATTTGTTTACTTATTTCATGAATTATTGTAAATTAGAGGATTGCTATAAAATTTAAAAATTATCCAATTATTTTCACATTAACATAAAATGTATAATTTCACACTTAAATCCAAAATACTTTATGCAATTTATACAGGGTGACTCATAAATTTCCATACGTAAGAAAAATAAACGTTTTTATATGAAAATCCATTTTTATTTATATAATATGCTCTACATGACTGCCATTGTGTTGAAAAGACATTTTAATGCGTGTCCTCCATTGCTGAAGAACACATTCAAGCACAGTTGGAGTTATGCTTGTAATCGCGTTGGTGATATGTTGCTTGAAATGATTTATGTTTTGTATTTTTTCCTGATACACCATGGCCTTCAAATACCCCAAAGGTAAAAATCAAGTGGAGTAAGTTCTGGGGATCTGGGAGGCCACCTCACAGGACAGTGTTAAAAACCATATGTATGGAAACTTATGGGACACCCTTCAATACACTAATTATATGGTTATATACTGTGCTGTATATATAGCATTACTTTCGAACAAAATATAATCATTTTTAATTATATTGTGCAATATACTTTTTAATATGATGACAAATGTGAGTTATCATTTATACATATGTAAGAAATATTTCAAACTACCCTATTTCTTCGTCTTCAGCTTGTTTTAGGACAATAAAACAATAACATCTATCTATATTTGAGTCTGTTTCTTTTTATTATTCGATTTTAGAGTCATTATTTCCTGTTTTAAATAATATTTTGATCTCTTATTACAAATGTAAAATGAAAGATGTTAAATTAATATTAATCGATATAAATATTTAAATGATATCTTTTTATTTATTAGGAATCACTACAATTGGCTGCAGTTGGACAAACGGGTTTTGGAACATGATCTTCCCAAGAAATCATCTCAAGCGCCGTTTGTTCTTTATTTTCTTGTGAAGTGAGTTATCTTTATACATACTTTGTTATCGTAATCGAGGTCGTTACGAGCATGCTAATAAAGTCCTTCGCCGTGTATCTTCCGGGATTATTGGAGGAGAATGCGGTTAAAGGTCGCTTTTATTAAAATTGTTTAAGCACAGGTGTTTTAGAACAAGTTATAAAAGAATTTAATATTCGAATAGCTTTAATTTTTCTAACCCCCTTTTTAATATCTAAGTGAAGTAATCAAATAGCTTCAACTGTATTGTAAATATTTATAAACAGTATCATAGAGACTTATAACCTATGATTTGTTTTAAGAATTTGTTTCAAAAGAATTAAATTTATGTATAAATATTCATAACATGTATTTGTATTTGTAACCTATATAATTTTTCTTCTTGCAGGTACTTTGTGGAGAGTATAACCGAATTAAGATGCAGTCACAGCGTGGAAGCGTTCTATCTACAGGCAAAGTCACTTGTTTTTAAGGCAAGTGTTCATTGGTTATTGTCCTATGACGTCACCACTGTATGTATTTAACTGTTTTCGGAGAATCTTCGACTGTATTCAACAGTTCGTTGGTTTGTGGTGGGTCGTACTTCGTCCTTTACTTTGCTGCTCTGATTTTTTTTTCTAATTTGTTTCGCTTGTAGCTTGCTTGAATCACGGTACGGGTAAGATACATTTCTTTTAAAATACACCAATCATTATATCACGAAATCGATTAAAATCTTTATATTTAAAGTATATATATGAAATAATAGTTAAAATTCGAGGATATATATTTGTTTTGTTGGCTTCGATAATCAGTTTTTGTCGATTATTTACTCCGTGTGTCGTTAGGAAACAGGTTATAAGAAATGCTTGGGGCGACTTCTTGACTCACTCAACCTGACCATTCACCTCACACAATGAAGTCGGATGAGGCCTCTTACTTATTAAATCCAATTTATTTTTATTTAGAAGTTGTTGATTGACTGTTTATATATCGCGATTTATACATAGATTGACTGCTAAGGGACGTCGAACTCTTAACAAAGTTTATAAATTAATCGATTTCCTTAAAGTATCGGCATGTTTCGCACGTGACATTGTTATTCTCACGGACTGCTAGTCATCAGCAGTAAAGGTCACGCAATGTAAGAGAGATTTTCATTATTTGAAATTTGATCCCTTCCCTTCAATGTTCTTTTCTTCTATATTTAATACTATCTTAATTTTTCGTACGTTTATGATATTTGTCGAGTTGGTGTCTATAATAAACACTAGATACAACTGTTTGTTTTTTAATGAACTGTTTGCTTCTTCATCCGTTTTATGATTATTTTCCTCGACGAAAAGATTATTAGTTTCAGTAGATTCACATGACTGGTAGCGGGAAGTCTTGTTTATTGTCTGTAAATTTGTTATACCATAAATTTTAACAGTTGTATGTTTTACAAGTTATATTTTTTAATGCTATACAATCGTAAATGTATACAGCTTATAAAAATTAAATATATTTATTATAGTAATTACATTATTTAAATAATGAAATTTTACGGGAAGTAATTAAACAAATATCCTGTGCATGTGTCATGTACTGTAGGTCTAAATTGTAAATAATTTTCATAGTGTCCTTAAGGGTTATAGTAATTATGAAAAAATATAATTAATTATAATATTTAAAAATTAAATTAATAAATTTTAGGTAAATGATTGTGCTCATAAGCAGCTACTATTTAATAATTTTTTACTCTTATAGGAATAATAATCAGGATTTAAATCACATCGTATACTTAAACTATTATACAAATTTTATTATATTTTAATTGCACAACTTTTTAAGTTAATTTCCTAGGATTATATTGTTAATTGGAGTATATAAATTGCAACATTTACAGGCTTTTCATAATCATAAAATAATAACTAATACAAAAGGTTTTATTTGTAAATAAATAAATGCAACAAATTTTAAATTTGTTTTTCATATAAAACTAGATAAGGTTAATGATTAATATATAATTAAATTAAAAAGAAATATAATTTTCTTTATTATCTTTAAGAGTTGTTTTATAAATTTATAAAGTTTACAGTTATTGTCTATTCTTAATGTGTAAAAAATCAAAAATACTATTAATAAAATTCTTTTTAACTAGATTAAACACAATGAATCACTTTATATAAATGGTTTATAAATAGGAAATTTTATTAGTTGATATCCTGATTAACTTATTCAGTAATTTATATAGTTTCATTATCTATTTATTTCTTGAAATTTTATTTAATAAAACAATATTTCCTGATTTGTTATTATTTTTACTTTTTTTATTGTATTTTTGATATTATAGGGTGTTATAGAAACAGATAGTGAGACAGCTTTTCAATTAGCAGCTCTAGTTCTTCAAGCAACATATGGTGATTATGTTGAGTAAGTAGTAAATAATACTATTGTTATGCTTAAAATAAAACTGCTTTTATCTAACTAATAACAATTTTATGAAAGTTGTTTCTTTGCATTTTGTTATTTTATACTTTTAAGTCATATTGGCTAAAAGTATGGAAATAAATTTTTAAACAGTTTATTTAATACCATTTAATGTTTAATTTAATTTTTTTTACAAAAATATTTACTGTATCATCATCTGGTTTTCTTATCATGATGATAACAGGTCTTGCAAATAAAACTATTCATGATTTAATTTAAAAGAAAATTTATTTCCTCATGAAAATTTATAAGTAGTTTGTAATGGAACATTTATTATATAAAATCTAAATATTTTCAAAATATAAAAAAATTATTCACCATACCCAAGATCAATGGTGAATCCAGAAGTATCCAGAGGGGGAGCTAATTCAAAAATTAAAAATATTTTAATAATTAATAAGTACCTTTTTTATTAACATGTGCATGATGATTATATTGTATATAGTTTGATAAATAATAATAGTTGCATCTTAAATAATTTTTTAAATGTTTTGAAGTTCAAACCAAAAGAAAATTTTAATTTTTTATGTCAGTGTGGGATTTAGGTCCCTGTAGTCCTCCCCTTGTATCTGCTACCAGTAATAAAAAGCTGGTTTTTTCATTATAAAAATGCCCTGCTATGTTGCACTTTCCAAATTAGTGACTATCTAACAAAACTCCATATACGTGTAGTTTTGAAGCTTCCTTATTTACTAGACCTTGCTCATGCAGACTTTAATATTGTCACTGTGAAACTTTACTGAAGGATTACAGATCAACTTTGCAAAAGGGCTGAAAAATGTTGCAATGATTGCACTCAAAGAAGTAACAATGGATGGTCTGCAAGATAGTTTTTATAAATGATATGAACATGGCAGAAAATGCCTTTTTTGAAGTGATTTCCTGTTAATACATTAAAACCTTGCTAATTAGGAATTTGTGGCAATTTGAACTACTACACTCACTTGCCAATGAATTAGAAACAGCAATTTAATATTTCATTGGATCACCTTTAGCTTGAATTACATCATTTACTTGATTTGGTATGGATTCTACAAGGTGTTGAAGTGCTTGTAAATCCAATGCATATCAGGAATTCACTAGGTTTTCCTTTAGTTTGTGCAGATTTGATGGAGCAGACTTTGCTGATGGATATGTTGTTCTAACATATCCCATACATTCTTGATGGGGTTAAGATCTGGGCTCTGTGGTGGCCAGGGTGGGTGGTGATAGTCATCTTTATGCATGCTGAACCACTGCTGAACAATTCTTGTGCGATGAACAGTAGTGTTGTCATCAAAGAAAGCTGTCACATACAGGAAAAAAATGCAACATTGCAGGATGAACTTGATTGACAACAATGTTCAGGTACTCGTTGGAAGTCACTCGACCTTCCAGGAATATCATTGGACCAGTTCTGCCCCATACCATAACACCCCCACAGAACCTTGAGTCATGTCAATGAGGCAAGCAGGGTCCGTTGCTTCATGGGGCTCCCTCCAAATCCTCTGTCTACTGTCAGTACAGAATAAGGTGTACTGTCATTCGTCTGATCACATTACTTTTTCCAGTCCTCAGATGTCCAATCACAGTGCTCTTGGCACCACTGTAGACGAACTCTCTGGTTCTTCACAGAAATCATTGGTTTTTGTATAGGCCTGCAACTGTTCATACCAATTCTTTTCAGTTCCTGTGCATAGTTTGGGTAGATATGGGTTGGTGATGGGATTCATTAAATTCTTCTGTCGATTGCTGTACAGAGGAAGTCATTTTTTCGACACTAGCCTTTTCAGATGATGACAATCGTGTTCCTGATTAACTGTTTCAGAGCCACAGTTACTTCTTTTAGACATAGACTGTGGATTATTTTTCCACCGATTGAACACTCAGGATATCTCATCTTTGAAAAAACCAGTCAGCTCTACAGTTCTTGATATCATGACTCCAGCAAGATGGGCACTACAAGCAGCCCTTTTTGAAACTCCATCAAGTTTTTTGCTTTTCCATTTTCATAAACTTAATGACCTTATTGATCAACAGTATTCTTAAATAGGAGCTTATGAACACGTGGTAACTCACATGACTCAAGTGTTTTGCATATAAGCTGCAAAATTACATTTACTTAATATGCATGCATGTTTCTAATTCATTGGCCAGTGAGTATATTTTGTGTTGTGTATTTGTTAAAATAATAGATTTGTCAATTCTAATCTGGGCTTTAACAGTTATTACTTTACTCTTAGACAGATGCATCAAAATGTGATGTAGAAAGTACTTATGAAAGTACTTACAAACAAAAATAACCTTGTTTTTTAACCTCAAATTAAAAAATGTTGGCAATAACAAGAATGATGCTACTATTACTTGCATTGTAAAAGTCTATCTAGCCACTGTGTTTATTCATTTAAATGATAAAATGTACTTTTTGGATCATACAATACACATTTGAGTAAAACATTTGCTAATTTGGAATAGGCTTTTCCCTAATTAATCAAATTAGGATGGTTCTTCTATACTTATATTATTAATGTAAATAGAATCAGAAAATTCAACACCAAAATTTTTTTTAATAATAGAATCAGAAATAACTACACTTTTTGCTTGAAGTTGTTTTATTATTTTCCTAGCTTTACTTTAAAATCTTTTTAAAATATTGGAAGCATTACATTAAGGTGAATTAAAAGTTTATTTTCCTTTTTTTCTCACCTCAGTTTTATCTTATGTTGTTTTTATCAATCTACTAAAAAAGTAAATAAGATATTCATTTATAAATAGTAAAAGAAATAAACAAAGTTAAGAAGTTCCAGTGAGTGAGAAATAAATGAGAACTTCTAATTTGAATAATGTACAGGTATACCTTGCCTTACGTCAGTAATTGGTTCTAGGAGAGGCGACATAAGTCGAATTTACTTGTCTCCGAATCTACTTGTCACTAGGCTAAACCATAAATTACCATTCCCTGTTCTGTATTTTATTTATTAATGCATTTTTAATAATGTATGGTTAATAAGGATCTATTTTAAGCTTACAAACAAATAAATTTTAGTTTTTAATATAGTACAGAAAAAGTAATCTAAATTTACGAATGCATGTACTGTAAATACAGTACATACTTCTAAATGTATATATTTTACTATGATTTTACTTGCTTTAAACGCTTTTCTAGTGATATTACGACTTCAATATTTGTGGCAGACAGACGTAAAGTCGAATAAAATGACTTAAATTTGATTTTTATTTTTCCATATACTTTTTTGACAAGCAACGTATAATCGGGAACGACGTAACTCGAAATGACGTAAGTCGAGATATACCTGTATTAACATTTTCTAAAATAATTATTTGATTTGTGTATTATACATAAATTTATATAAAGTATATATATATTGTGTAAAAGGTGTTTCAAAACTCATGGGAAAAATTTAAGGGGTGATAGAAAACATCTAAACAAGCAATTTTCACCATACAATGCATGGATGGAGAGCAAGCTGTGAACCACTAGCAGATATTTGTTACTGTCACATGAAAGAACAAAACACCAAATGGATAGAGGAGGTACTAAATAATTTTATTGATAGCATGTGTGCCAAAATTACAGAAACTGCTTAAAAGAGCAACTGCCTGCAGTAATGCAGGCGTTACAACTGCGACATAGCGAGCAGCACACTTTTTCAAACACACCCGGCATGTCTTGGACGGTACCGGCAGCAACAGAAATCCTGGCAACTAGGTCCTCATCGGAGTTGATGGGACTTTCGTACACAAGACTTTTCAAATGGCCCCACTGGAAAATATCCAGACAGGAGAGATCGGGTGAATGTGCCAGCCAGGGTGTGGGCCCACCCTGACAAATCCATCATCTTGGGAATTTAGCATCTAAAGTGCTCTGCACATCCAAGCTGAAATGGGGTGGTGCTTTGTCACGCTGGAATCACATATGTACTTGTATGTTGGCTGCAACAGGTTGAAGTAAGTCTAGCAATACCTGTCGTAAAAATGTGAGGTGTGTTCTGCCGTCCAGTCAGACTGGCAGAAGGTATGGGCAGATCAAATGGTCACCCACAATTCCAGCCCAAACATTTACGCTGAAACGCTTCTGATATGCTTAAGGACGTGTGGTGTACAGATTGTTAGATGCCCACATATGGAGGTTGTGCATATTAGAAATGCCTTCACGAGTAAAGGTGCATTCATCCGTGAATTACACATGTGCACTAAAATCAAGCTGCGCTGCTAGCTGTTGCAAAAACCAATGTAGAAACTTGACACATGGCGCATAATCTGTAGATATTAAGGCCTGCACATTCTGTGCATGGTAGGGATGTAATCCTTTGTCCCATAGTACTTGCCAAACAATCAAGTGGGGCACATTTATGGCACAAGAAACCTCTCACATGCTAATATCCAGACGATCTTCCACTCTTTGCAGAATGTCCTCTACAACTGGTGGCATCCACACACTCCTGCCACACCCTGTATCATGCATGCTGGTGACAAAGGATTGTGTTTCGCACAGGCACCGATGCAATCGCTCAAACATTTTTCGGACTGGCATGTGTCTTCTTGGGAAATGCTGCCTGTACAGTCTTTCAGCTTCCAGAGCATTCCCATTTGCAAGATCATACATAAAATGCATGTCCGCCTTTTCCTGATTACTGTACGTCACCATGCCTTCTGAAATCCACGGTAGAAATGACGATGTGTAAGAAAACTCGCGCTTTATGCTTTCCATTACAACGCCATCTAGTGGTTCATGCTTGCTCTCCACCCATGATTGTATGGTGAAAATTGCTTGTTTAGATGTTTTCTATCATCCCTTAAATTTTTGCCCATGAGTTTCGAAACACCTGTATATGTATATATATACAGACAAATCCTTAAGGATTAAATTAGTATGTTTTTAAATTTATTGAAAACATATTAACTTAATCTTCAAGGAACCAGTAATGAAATGAATCATTTTTGAAAATGATTAATAATTGATGTATCAAAATAACAAGTTAATGTTTTTACATCAGATTTTAGTTGGAAGTGTAATTTGTTTTCAACTTCCTAGTTAAAATGAATGAATCATACTGAATAATGATGAATATTAATATTATTTTAATTTAAATATTTGTAATGTACAAAAATAAAAATACTTTATAATAATTAATTAAACAATATTTTTTTCCAATTTGAAACTGTCTTTTGTCTATATTTATCCTTATTACACAGTGAAGTTGTTTAGGTGTCAATATGCATTTCAGGTACTTTATTTGTTTTAAACACTATTAAATATGGAATAACAAACAGCCAACAGAAGAGGGGCTAGCGCCTAAACAGCAGAATACAGACAGATATAAAGTAAAGCCTGGCATCTATTGAGTGCACTTCATTGTGTAACAAGAATAAATTAACAATAATTAAAATACATGAAAAAATATGAATTATAAATAAAATATAGCTTGTATATTAATGTTTAAAAATATAATGCAATTTTGCTATTTGGTTTTTTACAAAATTTTCCATTATGTAATGTATATTTATAGTAATATTATAATTATGAAAAACATAAATATAACTTGTAGTATTATTTCAGACACATTAATATACAGTACGCCTATATTAATACACTTTTTAGCTATTGCCAAAACTGGAAACAGTGTCCACGCACTAAAATAATTTGGCATTTCAGATTTCTGTATGATGAAACAATAGTGAATCACAGCTTATTAACTTTAAATATTTATACAGTTTACAATATATTTCCACTTTGTTTTTAAATTGACTATCAAACAAACATCTAATATTGAACATTGGAAATGATATATCATACAAGCAAAAATCTCAAATATATCTACAGGATGTGCCAGAAACACTTGAAAATTTTTAAAATTACTTTTTAAGTCACCCTGTAGATACCACTGTAATACTAACTGCCATTACTTTCAGTCTACTTTGGAGTTCAATTGACATAGAATGCTTCTATAAAACACTATATTGCTATATAAATGTCTTGGGACATTTATAAAGAGACATAGTATCACAGCTACACAATGTAGTTTCTGATACTATACTATGTTACTCAGGTATCAAAGTGGCATCAAGAAGGAAGTGTAAAGAATAGAAAACCATCAGGATATCCTTGTTCAGTAAGTGTACCAGACAATGTGAATTGTATAAAAAAAATACCATCTTGTGTAGACCTGCACTGGTCAGTTTAATGACAGGCTGTTACAATTAGTATGGCAGATAGCCAGGGCCGAATTAACCCACTTTTGGGCCATAGACATTTTCTTCTTACCGGGCCCCTCCCTCTCTCACAAGAAATAGAGCACACAAAAAATATAAAACAATAAATAAAACAAAACTAAATAATGTGAAAAACTAAAACAAATCTTAAATTTTTATTAATAAAAAATATTTAATACACAACAATAAATTTTAGTTTTTCTAGAAAAGTTTGAACAGTTTTTTTATAAATTTAAAATATTGAAATTTGTTTTATTAAATGACTAACAAAAGTTGTTGTACAATAACAATATTACCTTAAAATATTAATTGTCAACAAGACTATGTCTTGTTTATAAAATTGTACTGCCTGCTGTGTTATCAGCTTAGAGGTAGGAAGGAGTACATGTCAGGAGTTGCAATTTGGCACAGAGTATTAAGTGCCCACATAATGCGTGCATAAAAAATCCAGACTTGTAGGTACTCGGGGGACCGAGAACCGAGTCAAAGTAAAATACAAAATGGCGACTCTCTCTACAAACAGGCAAACCGAAGTCAGGTGGTGAGAGTACCACCCACAGTCATTCTAGGAAATGGACTCTGACCCTAGGACTGAACACATAGTATTTTCTTTGTTAAGATTTGTAATGTGAATTTGGGAGTGCTTCAAATATGACATTAAAACAGAGTTTTATGTTGTTACAAATAGGTTTTTTAACACTATCTAGTATAGTAAAATCTTGGGACCAATAAAAATTTGACATTATAATTATAATAATTAAACTGTGTATTGTTTGTGCAAAGTAAAAAAATAATAATAATTTCGGACGATACAATAGCCATGATTATTCTTTTAAAGACGGGAAATTTTTGTTAGGTATCAACAAAAATTCAACCCAGGCCGACGTGCAACGCAGAGAAATTTTTAAATTGGATAGGTTAGTTTTATCGAAAATGCATCGTGGGCGAACTTGTGGTCGTGGCCGGCAAAGTTTGAATGATTGCGCCCAAAAGCAGCGATACCGAAGAAGATTGGAGAATGAGAACAAGATCCGCTTAGTAGTGTCTTTGAGACATAGACATGTCCCAAATATGATTTTGCTGTTTTACTTGTTTAATTTAACCTTTTTGGTTAATATTTAAATAATTTTTTACGTTAAATATTTTACGTTTTACCAGTATTAAACAGTTGTCCAACAGAAAAGTAAACTACCTTATTTACAAATCTTTTCAAAATAGACAGTTTGACCGGGCCCTTCTAAAAACCAGGCCCTAGACATTTGTCTCATTTGTCTATGCGATGATCCGGCCCTGCAGATAGCAGATTTTTACTCATTGATATTTACTATCCATGCAAGCAAGATTGAAGTAGTCCAGGAGCTCAGTGTATAAGACAAGAGACAACTTCAGTTTTTTAAAATTTTTTAGTTATTGAGAGTTGATGAAAACATCATAAACAGAGTCAGTTGAAGCCATTCCATATGTCTGGGTTCGTGAACAAACAGAACTCCTTTCTGGACTGAAAATAACCTATGCAAATTTAAACAGTAATTTTTGCATACAGTTAAACTGAAGTGTAGTAAGCCATGTCATCAAATTTCATTTGAAGCATTATCATCTCATATTTCTCTGAAGATGAAAAGGGTCATGCTGTAAATTGAATGCTGAGCTCTTCATAGCCATGTTGGTAAAATTTCTGAGACATGAGATTAATTCTTATAATCTATTGTTCCAGCAAGATGGAGTTTTCAAAAAAATGTTTCTGTGTAGGTTCATTTCTTGCTTTGGAAACATTAACTGGTCTGTCCACCCATCTGACAGAACAGTCTCAATGATGAACATAATGTCATTTTCAAGAAGTAGTGTTTTATGTTAATTCACCATTAAAAAAAAAAGGAATATATTTGTGTGAAATAATAAATTATTTGTATTAAAGAAACAAATTCACTTTTACAATGGACCCTTGGTATACGACCTTAATCCGTTCCTGATGTTTGGACTTATACTGAATAGGACGTATACCGAACCAACCTTTTCCATAAGAAGTAATGTAAAAATGATTAATCCGTTCTCATGAAAAAAAAAATGGCTGGCTTTAAACACCTCGCTTTCCTGCTTGATTTTTCATGAGATCAGCATGTATCTTTTTAGCTTTCTTGCAAATAATTGCTTCTGATATGCTGTCTCTAGCACACTGTTTTTCGGTTATCCAAAGCAAAAGCAATTTCTTAACATGATCTAATGTCTTTGATCTCTGTTTAGAAATTGATTTAACTCATTTCACAATGTTAGCAGATTTAATAATGTCTTTATTTTTTGCGATTGTCGATATTGTCGTTCTCGGAATACGGTATGCAACAGTTAAAATCTCGAACACGTATGCCACCTTTATATTTTTCAACAGTCTTCTTTTTTCAGTTCCATTGTGATTCTAGTCATTTTTTTAGTTTTCTGTTGCTTTTCATTTGCCTTTTTGCAATTCATGATTAATAAAAATAATAAAATTTTACTTACAAATTAAAATCAGAAGAAATTTAACAAAGTTATAAATTGTGGCACCGCGAACGTCTAGTCTGGTATAATACACCGATAGTGCTACTTGTTCATAGATGGCGCGTATAATTGAATTAAGTCGTATACCGAACAAAATTTGTTTCGTCCAAACAGGACGTATTCCGAATTGGGCGTATTCTAAAGCAGACGTATACCGAGGTTCCACTGTATTATGCATTCTTAGCATTATTGCTGATACTTTTTCTTAAAATTATTCAAAGAAATTGAAAATTAATAAATATATTCCTTTTTATCACTCATGGTATTTTAAGGTTAAACTGTAAACAAAACTTAATATGTACAGTACAATACAATTTAAGTCTGCAACTGTGAATGGTCATTTGCAATTTAATATTGTAGAACAAAAAGAAAAGTTAGATTTTTGTATGATAGAAATATGAAAATCACTAAGAGTTTCATCCATTTTATAAGATAATTTTTATCTTATCTGATATCTTTAACTATATTATGATCAGATACATATGATTTTCTTAACTTAAAATTTACTTTCATTCTGCTTTATTGAAGAATTACAATTAATATTATTTTTTATTTAATAATTTTTATTATTAGTTTAATAATAAGCTAAGAAAAGCCTTATTATTATTATCTTCAGGAGTGAATTATTTCAAAGTTCATTCAAATCCTCCAACTGTCCTAATTTATGAGCAGACAATTGGAATCATGCAGTAGCTGATACATGACAAATTATCTGCTTGTGTTGGAGATTCAAATAAAATTTGAAAGAATTTGAAGAATTGAGACATTTCTAAAGACAAGAAAGGAAAGCTTGAAAGTACTAGTATAGTTTTGAAATGTTTAATATTTAGTTCTCCAATAAAGCAGAATAAAGGTAAATATAATAAATTGTTTACATACATCTAAATTACAGAATTACATAAAAATAAGCAGCTAAATGAATAAAGGAAAGCAAACTGTAGTAAATGCATTTTACTTTGGAATTATATTAGGATACCAATATTTTAATACACTGATATATATCTGCAGTTGGATTTTTTTTGTTTTGGAAGTTAATGAGTTTTGGAAACTTCTTTAATTTTCAAAATTTGTTTAATTTACGTTAAAATTTGGTTAAATTAAGTTTCTGTTTTTATTTATACCTTTAGTGACATAACTACTAGAGACTATTTGAAAAGACTTCCTGTTTTACGAGAAAGTACCCTAAAAGAACATTTTTCTATATCATTGTGGTAAGTTTATTATTTAGTTTTAAAAATTTGCACAATAATTAAATAGAAACTTATAAGAATAATTGGATGTTGCTATTCTCAAATCACTTTTTCACTGATATTATTTCACTGATGCTTTTACTTTTGACTCTAAGATTTTAATATCAGTTATTAGTATTGCCTGTTGTTGTAAGCACTGTATCAGTGCTGAATTGCAGGAATAATCAATGCTGCAACAGCATCTCCTGCACAAAGTTCAAGAGTAAGTTCTTTAAATGGCCTTAACATACCACAGAACATCAGAAACTAGATTCCATTGGTGACTGGTCAAGTAATTAATTTTGTTGGTCACAATGGAATGTTTTATTAATCAATCCTATACATCAAATATAGAGTCCATAGAGTTGAAATGTCTTAAATAAGAGAATGCACTAATACCTTTATGTCTTGTTGAATTTTTCTCAATATTTCTGTTACTCAAATGGCAAAAATGTGTTGAAATACTTTTTCCTACAACAATTAGCTATTTTATGGATTTTTTTGACTTTGTGTTTATGAAGACTTTTGATCAAGACCACTACAGCTACAAAATATCAAAGATTTAGCCAAACTATCTTCATAATAATTGGACTATTATTTTGCTATTAATAATAACTAGATATTAAGTAAATTGGGAGCATGAATATATTTCATGCTCCTAATGCCTCATGCTACAGTTACCATAAGTTATCCACAAGTATTTATTATTTACTTATTTTATTTTGGAATGAAAAATGATTATAGTTTCTATTTGTATTTTTATATATGAGTAAAATTTCACATCAGTTATCTGTACATTTCACAATTTCCTGTTTTTTGCAAGAAATATATCTGGTTATTACAATATCTTAACATGATAAAAATTTCAAATTATTTTAACTTTTAAAAATAAATATTTTACAATATATCTAAAATTCTTATCAAATTTATTATAATGTTTTATATATTACTAATAAAAATATTTAATATTTGTGATATTAATAATAATTAACTATTAATATTTTCAGTGAAGATAAAGTTATAGAATTTTATAAACATCTAGTTGGTCAAACAAAAGGAGAAGCCGTTGTAAAGTAAGATTTTTGTATGTATATAAATTTTTGATTATCAAGTATAAAAAGCATGTGTATATTTCAGTTACCTTAGCATTGTTGAAAGGCTACCTACTTATGGGATTCATTATTATGAAGTAAAGGTAAGAATTACTATTATTATTCTTGATCTTAATATAGGGAATATGCTCTTTTTAAGTTTTTTATATATAACATCAGTTTTTTTAAATGAATTTTCCATTATAAAGTGTAAGGATATTGAAAATAATTATTACAATAATCTTCCAAAATTATGATCCTGAGGGTGATCCCGAGTGACCACTTACCTGACAACAAGTTGGTGAGACCTGATCTTGTAGTCTGTTGGATGGCTCTACAATAAATTGTCACAAGATTGCAAGATCTAGCTGATGGCAGGATGCTGACACCAATTAGGATAGAGTTAGGGTTATTTCACACTATGACCGACTGGTTCGATCCGACCAATCCTATAATCAGACTGACTAATAGTAAAAGCATTCACATTGAGTACGATTATATGTCGGTGGCCAATTCGTAAGGACCAATCGGAATAGGTGTTAGAAATCATTCTAATTTTTAAAAATATTTTTGTAATCTACCTGGTTAAACTTTGTGGATGTGATCTTACTTCATTAATAAATTTTTCCAAAAAGTCTAAATATTACCATCTTTTCTCATTATGTCAATAATGTTTTTTAATATATATATTAGTTATATGTGTTCCCACATAAAATTTAAGCAGTTATGAAAGAAATAAGGTACAAGGAAAAATTTAAATAAATTAGAAATATATATAATGTAAAGCTATGTTTGATTGATTTGATAGTTTTTATATATCCAAAGTCTGATTGGTTGTAGTTTTGAAGCTCTCATTGGCTGTACTCACCGACTACTCTGACCCAACTATAAACATTTTAACTTTTTAAATCTGTTCGACTGGAATGACCAATCGGTGGACTGATTGCTGTTTCCATGGCAACACAACTTGGAGTCAGATCAGTTAGTCATAGTGTGAAATAGCCCTTAAATGCATCCTAACCCACAAATTGTAACCAAAGGTTGAATAGGATGATCTAAAATTATCGAGTGGGAGGTTGTGAACAAGTTGATGTGTCCAGGGTTTGATAGAGATAGGTAGCCAGGTTAACAAATAAAAATATAAGTTTAATATAAAACATCTAAACCTAAGAATACACAGAAATATGTTATATACATCTAAGGCAACATGACAAACATATTATGCGCTCCAGTTGCGTTCTATCCGCTATTTTCTCTTCAGAGAGAGAGTTTACAGAAATACCTCAGAGAGAGATGTGGTTCTCTGTCTTTGCGGAAGTTGAGCCGTGATCAATGTTTTCCTTTCTTATACTGCAATTCAGGCCGTCGTCTTCTATGGGAAAGTCCACTTTAGGGTGTTCTGGATATGATGGGATGGAAGTCTTCTCCATCATTATATGGAGCTGTCATGACCATATTTGGTTCAAGACTTGTCTATTCGTGCATCAACAATCAACTTTCTCCTCCTTTAACACTAGGTTATTTAGTCCTTGGATGTTATAATTCTCATCTAGTTATTGATGGTATGGGTGATATTCAATTCATTTCCTGTGTGATGTTTTCTTTACAATCACAATGGAGAAAAAGGCTTAAGATTTTTCTTAATTTTACACAAAATCATGCCTCAATTCTCACACTTATAATTTTAGGATATTGCATATATATTTATGATAAGCAAGATTTTAAAAAAATGTTATAGAATATTTTTAATAAATTATTATATTATCTTTTATAATACTGTTTTATTTTGAAGATCATTTTTAATGATTTAAAATGAATGCATAAGAGGTTTACAATTGGTGTTAGACATTGTACAAAATACAGAAGTGGTGAGTAGGTTAATAATACATGAGTATAGAAAAGTTACACAAACATAAGATTAGTGACGCATACAGAAATGTATGAAAGACAGAAGAATTTTTGAAAACTTGAAATGATATCAAATATTTCAAAGATTTACTGTATGTCTGCCTATATTAAGATATAAAAACTATAGTAGATAATTGACATTTTCCAAGAAATATTTAAAAAATGTTCTGGCAGTCATCAAAATATATACAGGCAATCCATGGGGATCTGACCCTTGACATTTAGATAACTTGCATTTTTATAGATAATACATTGACATTTCTAAGTCTGTTTAAATTACAAATTAGGACTTTACTAAATATCAAGCTGACAAACAAGAATGTTAATTTGTCATATAATGGAGCTTTCTGCTAGTTTTGGTAATCTGCTTTCTGTTGAATATGTGGTATTAATCTCTTAAATAATGTATAAGCATTATAACATAATCACTGTGAAAAAATCTAAATATTTCAATCTTATTTTGAGATTTTAGTTTTTATTTTTAGCTCTCTAGGAACACTTTGATCTTTTCATATTTAAATTTTCACTACTTGCTATGACATTTTAGAAATAGTTTTTTCTTGTTAAATTGGCTATAACTTTTATAATTTTTAGTTTATAAATTTATGCAAACCAAAACATTATAGATTTAAATTTCAAACACAAATTGGATTGTTAGCATGAATAATGACTTCTTCCAAATTCTCTTGGTTTTAAGTTATAATTAGAATTTAAAATTAACATTTCTATTTAATAATGAATAATGTTTATATTAATTTCTATATTAAAATTTAAATGTTAGTTTAAAGCTTTTTAAATGTAAAATGTGCCCATGAATTATAGTTTATTAAATTTTTACAACCTTCTAGAGTAAATACAGGTACATATGAATATTACTGCTAAATTTTTAGATTTCCAATAAGATAAGATACAGAAAATGAACGAATCTTACTGGAAATCTAAAGGTTTAGCAGTGATATTTAAATTTTTGTATGTATTATTTATTTTTTAATTCATAATTGAATACTATTTTAATTTTGAAATTGCAAAATATTTAATTTTACTCTTAATAGTTTTATTGAATATTTAAATTTTATTTAATTAATTTATTTTAAAAATTTAAAGGATAAGAAAGGTGGTTCTTGGTGGTTAGGTATAAATCATAAAGGAATTAGTCAATATGATTATTCAGACAGAAAATCTCCTAGACAAGTAAGTAAACTTAAAGCAAATTAAATTTTATAAAATAAAAAATTCAAATTATAGGACAATAAGTTACAATCAAACCCTGTTAATATATTTTTTGAGGAAACTGAGAAAAAATATCATGTAAGGGAGAAAAACATACAAGTGAAACTATTTATGAATTGCTTTCAGAAATGAATATAATTTTACACAAAATATATGTACAAATTCTGTGGTACAAATTAACACTGTGCAAATTAATTTGTACCACAGAATTTGTACAAAAGCTTGTTCAACAGTAGCCCGATAGATTTGTCAAGGAATTGCAGCAACATGGCGTGTTATGCTTGTTTCCAATTCAGGCAAAGTCTGTATGCTTCCTCTATAGACACAATCTTTTAGATATCCCAACAACCAAAAGTCATGGGGATTCAAGTCTGGAGAATGAGGAAGCCAAGCAGTCAGAAAACTCGAAATTACCCGATTGTCTCCAAATTTGTCATGCAGCAGTTCATTCACTTGTCAGGTAATATGCAGTGTTGCACTATCTTGCACTATCACTATCTAGGACAGTAGTCTCTAAACATCCTCATTCTTGTAAAGCAGGAATGACGTGATGCAGCAGAAGTTTGCAATAACTGGCACCAGTCACAGAACACTTTTGAGGACCTTGTGGTGTGATCTCCTCAAAGAAAAAGGGGCCAAGAATGAAGTCAGAAGTGAAACCACACCAAACGGTTATGTAAGCAGAGTGCAGAGGCTGTTCATGCACAACATCAGGTCTTACAGTACCCCGTATGTGACAGTTCTGAAATTCATTGCTCTGTTTAGGGTGAAATGCATCTCGTCTGACCACAAAATGTTCCATGGCCATGCATTATCAACGGCTATTCTGGCCAAAAACTTGTAAGCAAACTCTGTGTGTTGTTCTGGATCTTGAGGGTGCAGCATTTGCAACATGTGGTTCTTGTAAAATACTAAGGATGCACCGATAAGCAAAATGGATGATTACCGATTAATCAGCCATGCATTATCGGCCAATTAGTGATAATAATTTATTGCATTAATAGTGTGAGATCCTGGAGTTAATTATACAGTTAATTATAATGTGGAAAAAACCCATTTTTCTCCACCTGGTATTTCCATCTTCCTCGGGTCAGGTAAACAAGAGACGATCGAATATCCTCGCAAAATCAACAATCTCTTCCTTTGTTTCTAAAATAAATCTCAACACTTAATTGTTGACGCATGGAAACTTCGACATTGTTTAAAAAGCTGAAGTGTTTCTGTGTTTAACAGAAACAAAATATATTTCTTTAACCGCTGATATTTGGACAGCAACTACAAACAATTCTCCTTTTTTAAGTGTAACAGCCCACTGGTTGAAGGATGATTTTCAGCAGGAAAGAGCTGTTTTGCAAATTGTTTCCTTTGAAGGTTCCCACACAGCTACACGAATCAGTGAACAGTTAAAAATTGTTCTTGAACAGTATAAGTTGACAAGTGATAAGATATTCTTAGTACTAAGAGATTCTGCAGCAAATCTGGTAGCTGGAATTAGGAATTGCAACTTAGAAGCATTATCATGCTTTATACATACGCTGCAGCTGACACTAAACGAATGCATATTTTCTAAACAAGATGTGAAAACTATAATCACAGTTAATAGAAATATTGTCACACATTTTAATCATTCTGCTGTAGCTGTAATCAAATTGGAAGATTTGCAAGAAAAGTTAGGTTTGCAGAAACACAAATTAATTCAAGATGTTCCTACTCGCTGGAATTCTACATACTACATGTTGGAACAGCAAAAGGCCCTTGTCACATATGCTATAGATAATAAAATTCCTACGTTGAGCCCATATCAGTGGTCTCTCGTTGAAAAAATTGTTCTACTTGTAAAACCATTCAAAGAAATTACTGTGGAAAGCCAGCAAACGAGAAGCCACTTCATCTTCAATAATTCCCACAATAGAGACTCTGAAATTATTCTTATCAAAAGCAAAGATCAGTAGTTCCTTTAGTGGCATTAATACCACAACAGAAGAACTAGAAAATCCAATAAAAAAAGATTTTCAGCATATATAGAAAACAAGTCTTTATGCTTGTCATTTTTATTAGATTCAAAATGAAATTTCAAAAAGAGGATATGCTAGAGGAAATCTCAATAAGAATTAAATTCTGAAGCTTCTACTTCTGGAGGTGATCAAGATGGAGGTGAATTTCTAAGTTTTTCTGATTTATTTGATGAATTAGCTTCTGGTAAACGAAAGAATGAAGAATAGCATGTTTTTAAAAAAAAAAAAAAAAAACGAAAGAGACGAACAAACGTTTCGATCAAGAATTAGAAACATATTTACATTTATCCCTAATTTGAGCAAAATAGCTATGAAATATTTAAGTGCCTCAGCATCTTCCATTGAAAGTGAAAAAATTTTCAGCACTGAAGGTAACATTTATGAGCCGGCAAAAAATAGGTTATGCCCTGAAAATGATGAAATTCTCATGTTTTTGCATTGTAAAAACAAACTGTAAAACCCTTAAATTGTAATTTAAGGGTTTTACAGTTTAAATATTAAATTTTTATTTGTTTTATATTTGTTTTGTATTTAAACTTTAAACTTATGAAACAAATAAAAATTTAATTTTTCTTCTTAACCTATTCAATACTTTTTCTTATGTAAAGTTTAAACTTTATATTATACGTTATGTTATACTTATAATATGTATTGATGAAAGGAATAATTTGATTAGTAAAATTTTTTTAATATTCAGATTGTCATGTAATAAATAATAAATATATAACAGAAATTTATTAGTTTTTATTACTAGCATTGTACGTAACATTCTAACAAAAATACCAAAATGTAAAATTGGCCAATTATCAAAACCGATTAATCGGGAGGAATGGCCGATACCGATTAATCGGCTAAGTGGCCGATACGGCCGATTACCGATTACTTACCGATTAATCGGTGCACCCTTATAAAATACCACTCTAAAATGGATTGCATAATTTTTCAAACTGTAGACCAAGGAAGAGACAAATCACAAGACACCGCACGCGCACTCATCGAAGAATGTTGGGAAGCGTTTGCTCTGTCACTCACAGCAACGGTGACTTGCTCCACAGTTTTATTTGAAATCCTTTTCCGACCTCTTCCTGGTAATACACCCAACTCTCCAGTCTCTTCAAACTTGTTAATCGTCTTTCACAAACCATACCCCAACATAGGCCCTATTCACAAGCCTTTCAAGCATTGATATTATTGCAGTGCAGCAAAATCATGTCATTCTGATAAAACAACTTTACCAGTAAAACTCAGTCTTTCTTCTGTAAAGGCATGATAAAGAATGGCATCAACTGCTGGCTTTATAAAAGGTTCTTAATTTACATAACATCTATTACATGTGCCATTTTAAGTTTCATCAAAATATGTCAACGAGAACGAGCTCTATACGGGTCTGAGTAGAGCAACTTTAATTATAACCACTGAAAATGTAATACATTTGAACAGCATATAAAAGGAAAAGTAAACTCAATTTAAAATTAAGTCATATACTTTTTAAAAAATTAGTCACGATTTGTTTGTTTCTTTTTCAATGGATTTGTCACATACTGTACCAGTTAACTCCTGAAACATGAGTCAAGTGAAAAAACAAAGAGCTATTCTAAAAGTTATCTCATACTTATAGTAAGCAGTGAAAGTGAATGAAAAACTGGAAAGTGATTTTTATTTGCTTGGTGAAATTGGTACACAGTAGAGAAAATTTGGAAAATGAAAATTTTAAAGTGGACTTACAGAGCAGTTTGCCAAATGGGAAAATTCATTGGAAACAGCATTTCATATTAAGCTGGATTTAGGTTTTTGTGTATCACAAAATGATGTAATTTGCTGTCACTGTGGACTAATGTTAAGTAAATACATAATTTCTTTTTGCACTTTTTAAAATAATCACTTAAAATTTTTCCATTTCAAAGTGTATAAAGCATGTGTGAGAAATAAGAGCTAAAGATACCTAAAAGTATGTTGATGTGTAAATGTGAAATCCTATAAATAAAAAATGTATAACTAAAATGCTTTATAATGGAGAAAGTATAAGATTTTTTTATCATATAACTGTGAAAAATGTGCAACTGAGAAATGTGTAAACTGGGTTTGATTGTGTTAATGAAAAATTCTTAATTCTTACATTAATTTTTTAAAAAATTAGTCTCCTCCAGTTTTTATTAAAGATATATATTTGACAAAAAACAGTGATGCCTTCTTAATAAACAATGAAAACATTTGGAACTCTTTTTATTATTTATCATCATCTATTATCTCTTATTTAATTTTGTAGCTAAATTCTTACATAAGACAATACTAGTTTATTGCTGCTTTTCTTTAAATTTGGATCAAATAAATATATATAATGATTTCATTTATAAATTTCTCATGCATTTCCAGTTTGATTGTATTTTTATTATTTTTTTAATGAAATAAATTCAGAATTTGGTTAGAAATTCCATATTTATTTTTGGCATTTGTAAAACAATTTATATTTATTGCTGTAGGCACTGTACACTTTCCTAACTCGTTTTCTGGTTACAAATATGATCAGTCTTATCTTATTAGTATAAAAATTATTTTATGGTAAATTATTATATTAATAACATGTACTATGATACACCCTAACTTCTCTTATCAAAATTATCATTCTTTGTATCATTGCAGCTTGTATTTTTTCGCCTTGATCCAAATAGTTTGTTTAATATTTATGATATTAAATATCATACAACCTGAGAAAATATTTATTTATCTTACATTCATTATTTAATATTAGGTATTTCTTTGGAAGCAGTTAGATAATTTGTATTATAGAGATAAGAAATTCTCCATAGAAGTGCATGAAGTCAGAAGGTAAGTTTATAATAGTTAAAAGCAGAGAATTAAATAAGTTAAAAGCAGAGAATTATTTTTTTTTATGATAAAAATGTTTTTACAGAGTAGTTCATGCTTTAAGTAGTTTTAATTTATATGAAGATGCTATTGAAGAGCCAGTAGAAGATTATGATGAACTTTCTGATGCAATTTGTGATCCAACTACACAGTAATATTTTATATTATAAAATTACTAGTAAATTTTTAAGAAGAATAAAAATATTTTCTTATTATTATTTTTTATTTTTATTTTAGAGTATCAGTTAGTAGAAGAACATTTGGTCCTGCAAAAGTTACAGTGTTTGTTTGGATTGCTTCCACACCTTCTTTAACAAAATGTATCTGGTCAATGGCTATATCTCAACATCAGTTCTATTTGAATCACAAGCACAGAAAAGTACATATGATTATTATTTCAAAATTATAATTTTTGGTAACAATAGTGTATTTATTTTTTTGATTTTTATGATAGTTTAAAAACTGAATAATAAAATTTATCAACAATAAGACACAAATATTCTTCTATAGGAATATTTCAAACCTAAAATGGTGTTGAAACAGTAAAAATTAATCTCTTTAATTAATAAAAATTATATTTTAATTATTAATTACACATTTAAATGGATAGAAGTCATAGTTCAGCGAATAGTTCAGAAGTCATAGTACGTTAAAAATGAATCTCTTGTTTGTATATTTCTATTGCAGCGCATGCATTTATGTTCTGTGTCGCCATCTATGTGTTATGCAAGTGCTTCATACGTAAGAACATAATTCAATTAACAACTTATTTCAAAATTATACATTTTTGAAGTCTGTTATAACCAGACTAATTTTGATAACATTTATAATAAACTTGATAGAATCATGTCAACACTCAGAATAACACTATAAATTATGTTCAGCACAACATCGCTGAAAGGTTGTCGACACCTGCTATAAATAATTGGTCAGTTTGAGCATGTTTATTACCTCTTCCTTTTCATAAATGGCTGCCTTGAGAATTGCCCAAAATCCTCAATTGGTATAATTTTTGGAACATATGAGGGTTGTCATCCTTTTCAATAAAAGTGATGTTGATGTTTTCTTGTCACAGGTAATCCAGTTTTGGCTTAGTGGAAACTTGATCTAACCAGAAGACATATTCTGTTTGATAATAGTTCTTACAAATGTAAGAAATTGGGTGGTGTATATATTCATTTAAATATTACTGGGCATTGATAGTAAAACTCAATAGTCTGATTAGGGCTTAACTTAATCCTCTTGATCTCATTGCAATTCAAACTGAAACTTTGCCCTCAAATTTCTTTTCTTGGAAAACTTTTTTTCTGGTATAAAATCCATCATTACCATTGATTATTGAGTGTGAGAAAGAAGTAAAATTTGTCATCTAAAATAAAGAAGATTTTAGAGAACAAACGTATGACTCACCAACCAATTAACTGGTGTGAATAATGTTTAAGTGATGAACATTTTCATTACCCCTTCTGGGTACTTCTTCAGGTTTATTCTTAATTCAAAACAGGCTGGCCATTGACATTTGAACATAAATTGAATCGTATGGATTTTGAATACGGTATGTGCATGTGTTCTCTGTAAGATGTTTAAAAAAGATCGAACATTAGGTTGAGTTGGAATGCATATGATTGAAAATTAAATACAGTCAACCCCCCTATAACACTGTTGATAATTCCGTTTTATATGAATTCCATGTTGTACGAGTCACTTAGATTTTACAAATACGTGAACCGTTCACAGCCCAGCACACGTATTTGTAAAATTTAAGTGACTCGTACAACATGGAATTCATATAAAACAGAATTATCAACAGTGTTATAGGGGATCGACTGTATTGGTTAATTGGTTGATGAGTCGTATGTTTCACATACATCCTGGTGTTGTGCAGTTAAATATTTTTAGAGAACTTTTGCAACAGTATTCTGCACTTCATCCTTGCCAGTGATCTTTGCTTTTCAGTTCTCACTAGAATTACCTGTTTCTTTCAATATTTAATGTTTTTATTTTCAAAGTATCATGAGTCAACTGTGAGAAATTTTCAGTTGTAAGGTTTTAGATCAAATTGAATCCTTGTCACTATTTTCAAAGGTCGTCTTTAATGCTTCCAACTTGAATTTCATTAGAATTTTCACTTTTCTACTAAACCCCTTTCTTTTCTGTGATAGTTCAATCTCAGAATGTTGGAGAATTCAATATATAGTCCATTTTGAAATTCATTTTATTTGCAAAACGGTTTATAGTAACCTTTTATCCTAATGTTTTATTTAATAGGTAAAAGTTCTACACTTTTATGAATAATACATAAAAGTTGTACACTCTTGTGTTGCCATTTTGAAAGAAGTAGAAAATTGAATGCAGAAAAAGATTCTAGAATGCTCTCAGAATTCTGTGTGCAGAATTCTGAGAGCATTATAGTATGTGCAGCATAATTAAAAAATATTGGCTGTTAGCTAGAGTCTGAGATATTTTGTGTGAATTTTTTCTGGACACTTGATACTATAGACTTTTATATTTGATGCTGTAGAATTTTTCACAACTCTTTCTATTCTGTTTATCTATGAATGACAATATAATAATTTTATAATTTTTTAGATTTCAACATTTCTTTGTAAACATTAATATGTTATATTAATTTCCAAGCTAAAAAAATTATTTTTTGATCTCTTAATCAGCTCTTCAGAAATAGCAGTATTCTAAAATATAAACATACTTCTTTTTTTTTTAGACTAAAGAAATAACTACTTAAAATGTATTATATAAATATATAGCTTTGTATGATATGTTGAAAATACATTTTTTAAGCTGTTAAATGCAAGATTTTAGCTGAGGATGGTTGGATCTTAAAATGAAAACATTTATATTGTTTAATAAATGTTAAATTCCTGAAACAATCAGTGATTTCTATATTTATAAATATATTATAAGAAGTTTTTTTGCATTAATTACTCATTAAATGTAAAATTAGTATTAAATTAAATTTAAAATTAATTACTGTACATGATATAAAAGACAAATTTTAAATAATATATATATTTATTTAAAATTTATCTTTTATCACTGTTTAATTAAGAAATTCAATACAGAATGATACATAGACTTAATTAAATAATGATAAATAGTTCTTTAGTTTTCTTAATCAATTAATTAATTATATTTTTAGAGTCAAGTATATGTTACACGTAGTCTAGGCCAAATAGCAGCTGATTTATGTCGTAGCATTCAATCACTCTCTTCTACAAGTTCTTATTCTAATTTAAGTCGAAGTGCCAGTTCAAATAGTTTGCCTGTTTTTCAAATAGATAGTAAGTACATTTTAATATCTCAAAACTTTTCCAAATAATGAATAACATTTACATTAATTTTATTTCTAGATTGTCAAAGTGAAGAAAGTAGAGTTGCAAGATTAGAAATGTTATCAGCTTTAAAAGCAAGAAAAGAAGCCTTAGAAGAGGCATTATCAAAGAAAACAGAAGAATTGAAAGCTTTGTGTTTGAAAGAAGGGGTAATTATATTTATTTGTTATGCCCCAATAGACCTAGGTCTGTTAGGTGATGTTAGAGGGTCAAGGCACGGACAAATTAATTTAAGAACTTTACAAATCTGGTTAAATTTTAGTAACAAAGGTTTAATCATAAATATTTACAAAACATTCATCTATTCTAAAACATAAGAGGAACATAAATCTATTTAAACTTACAAGATTAGGTAACACATACACTATACGAGAAAAGGATCGAAGATATTACTTTTCCTTTTAAACAAACACAATAATCAACATACCGACAAAAATAATGGTTTTCTGAGGTCCTTCGATGTTTCCTGGTTTAATATCTTGCACTTAGTTCATGAACAATGGGCGTATTCTATACACCCATACCTCGCTTTACGGCCTAGATACGTTCCACGAAACTTGGCCGCAAAGCAAAAAGCCGTATAAGGAATCAATTATTCTAATACAAATTCAATGGGATCGGTTCCAAATTTATTAAATATGTAACATGGTTTATCATTCAAAATGCATTTTATCTTTTTATTTCATTTAAATCAAAAATACATACATAAGAACTACATACAGTTGTACATAAAATAATAACAGACTCCAAAAACCAACAATAATCTATGAACAAAAATGAAACAACTTCATGTTACATAAAATATGTGTATGTTTACATACATAATTTTTTTTAAATGGCTTTAATCTGAAGATGATGAAGAAATGATAACCTGCAGATCACTGTCGTCATCATTTTTCGCTGGTAAGGATGGACCTGGCTTAAAAAAATTGTCCACCGTTGTTTGTCTTGCCTTCTTGTCTATTTTGTTCTTCAGTAATAAATATGTACATAAAACACTCACAGACAAGTCTAAACCAGCTGCTTTATAAGCACACACTGAATAACGCTCGTAAACAAGAGGAAATAGAAAAGAGTGTGCATCGAGATTGCGCTTGCGCAAGATTGGCAACATGTAGATATATCGACATCGAAAAAAGTTTTTTTTGCCGTTATAGCGAAACATTTTAGGCCGTAAATCGAAGAGGGCCGTTATAGCGAAATGCCGTATAAAGAGCGGCCGTATAGCGAGGTATGGGTGTACAACGGATTTGGATTCCGTTCTCTTCATTCGAAAGTTCACACGTGTCAGTCTTTTTCTTCTACTTTACCGACACTCTTACACCACGTAGTCTGTTGATCACTCAAGAAACAGGAACTGGGAAAGTAGACTTCGGACAGGAGTTCCAATATTTTTACTTCCCACCATTGGGTGTAACATGAAACACATGTGATGTTGGTCACTGACCAATCAACCAGCACTACGGGTCCAACCCGTTACAATCCAGTACCATAAAATAAAATGGAATTTTACAACAAAACCCGACATGACACATCATATATATATATAAAATAAATGAAATAAACTATACATAGTGCTTGGGCACTACAATTTATTTATTTACTAATTAGTAAAATTTTAGAAAGCTTATTTAGTGTTTTTAGTTATATTTTAAACATAAATATTTTCAATTATATATTAAATAATTTCTAGAATTATGTGTAAATTCTAATGTGTATTGATAGTTTTAAGAGTTAAATAGTAACATCTATGATCTAGAATATATCTTCCATATCATGTTATTTCTTACTAGTTTTAAAGAAAAATTAAGTTTATTTCTTCTTTTCTGTTTTGATTTTATTTAATTCATTATAAAATTTTCTTCATTAGAAAGATTAACTTTTTATAAATATTTTCAATAACACATCAATCTTTATCTTCAATTTAATGATTTAAATAATCAGAAGGTTTTTGACCATTTGATCTTCATCAGTGTTTACTAGAGCAAACATCTTTTTAGAAAGAAAGAATATTGGCTTCAGAACTTCTTTGGAACAAACATTATCTAGGATTTTTTAAAAATGGAAATAGGAAGAATGAAAACACTTCTGAAGGTAGATCACATGATTAACTTATGATCACGTGCAATTTTTTTTTACAAGATTGCATAAGGCTGTGGTTTTTCAAGCTTAATTACACTGCACATAATTGCCATTCCTCACATTTGACAATTCTGAAAAATCCTGTAATGTGTCTTCTCAGCATGTACCAAATTTTGATATCATATGTTGTTTTGTTTACAGAACAATGTCTTTCAGAGTTTGCAATATCATAGACTAATGTTAAACAAATTTAGATGGAAATAAATGACAGGAAGACTGAGATGTTTCTCAGAAGGACAAGAAAATGATTTTTGTGCACAAAATTAACCCATAAAAACATTTAAATTCTTGAAGGTCATAGCATCCCAAACTGTTCTAAGAGAAAAGCATTTAAGATTGTAGTGACTTACAGACTGCTTGTTATTACATCATCATAGCTGACAAACATTCATTACATCATGACTACCTCTTGCAGTTATTACAATAGACCTTTACATCATTTCTGATGATTTCAGTTTAAAAGATGACATCAGAGCAGAAATTTTGCAAAAAAATTAAACTGTCAACTTAAGATAAAAGTTAGCATATTATTATTATGTTGTAAATGTCATGCTCATCTGATACTGGTGCCAAGTACTATGTTGGACTAAAGTGAAAGCATAGTTACCCAAAACAAATGTAGCATTAAGCTGTGTTATTGTCAATGTCTAACAATGTGACATTTGTTCAATATTGCAGCTTTCTGTAGTGCCATGTATATGTTTTTATTAAGGTTTAATGTTTCTAGACTTGTGTAGTATATGTGGTATAACATCAGTAGAAAAGAGGACAACAGGTACAATAAATACCTTATCCATCCTCCACATCTGTCTTATTTCTTGAGCGAGTGGAGTGTGTTGATTTTTTTTCAGTGTGAGCAAAAAAGTGCATCACAATGTGTACATTTATTGCTTAATTGTCCAAGTAAACTATTACTCCTTGTTATTCTGAAATTTTCAGTTTTAGTTCATTTCAAGTTAAATTTCTTGGATTTAAATTACTTAATCTTTTTCTATTTTTTTCTTCTTCTGTCATACTTTCTCTTTGCTTCTCTCTCTCTCTCTCTCTCTCTCTTTTCTTCTTATTTCTTCAATATTTTGATTAATATTTTGTTGATTCCAATTCTTCACTTCTTCATATTATTCCTATGACTCTCCTGAATTGATTATCTTTGGTGTGAAACAACACTAAAACTATTTCTATATTTACATCACAAAAGAAAAGACGGTTACAATTAAATAATTAAAAATAATATAAAAACTAAATTCTGTATCTCTGTTTATAACCAAATAAACTTAAAGAATAGTTGCTTTGGGAGCAAATGAATAGCCATCTCTTCACCTCCAAGTCTCAGTCAAAAGTGAAGTTTTTTTGTGTCTCCTATATATACACAAAGACCTTCCTTTCCCTTTTTTTTTTAATCCATTCCATGAATTCATGTAAAGTACACAAAGGAAGTTCATGGGTGGTCCTTTTGAAGAATGAATTGTAAACTTCACCTGTGACTTGCTTACACACTGCTTCTTTGTAAAGTGTTTGTTTAAGTTTTGGTGGGGATGGAACATTTTGATTTTAATATATATACAGATTATATATATATTTTGTTTGTGAAGCATTGGGAAAGATTTTCAATTATATCTCTTGAGAATTTTAATATCTGACAATTTACTAGTCTTAAACCATTTTTGTTTTATTTTTTAACATTATTGAATTTTATAATGAATAATTTTGTATAATGCTAATGCTTTGATTTTCTTAGTATTAACCTTTCAAAATTAATTAATGATAATCCCACAATTCATAATTATAAATCAAAAAACAAAATTTCTACATAGTTTAAATATAAATTCTTGGTATTGTCATTTAAAACTTTATTTATTTTTAGGAATTGAGTGGTGAATTACCTATAGAAACACCTTTATCTCCTGGAGAACCTATTCCTCAAGTTAGACGAAGGATAGGCACTGCTTTCACTTTAAGTGATCAATTGATATGTAAATTAAAATCTAAAGAAGTAAGTAGATATAAAAGCAAGTTTTAAGTATTAAATTGTAATTTCTCAGCTCAATGTTTATTGATATCAATACTATTTATTTATATTATTAAATTGGAAAATCAAAGTAAACGAGAACGAGTTTGGTTTAAAGCAGCAAACTTTTCCATTGAACAACACAATAGTATTTCATAAACAATACGTTTTATCTTTGTTTATTAAATAACACACGAAAAGAAAGTGAGAATGGAGATAAACAATGTGACACGTAATAACCAAGATAAAGAGATCGGTGTCAAAATGTCTACCGAATGCAATTATTTAAGTGTGGAATCCGAATTTCTAAGATGTATTTTTAGAAGTTGCGTACGAAATTTTCGTTTAAGTAACCCGCGGCCATCGATCTTTCATTTCTTTTTTTTCGTCACACGGCTACTCGTGACTCATCTTCGAAGTCGAAACCACTCCTATGCCATTCGCTTACCAATCCACTTATTAAGAAATAACGACATTACGAAATAAACCGAGCGTTAACTTTACGAATAATTTCGTGACTGTAAATCATTAAATTTATAATTAAAAGAAGTAATTGTATAACGAGGGAGGGAGACTTTTCGGTTAATGAGCTCGGAATGGCCCACACAACTGGAAATTTCTTACATAACTCGAAAACTCTTAAAAGACTCTCGTATAATCGAGTGTAACCACCGACGAAACTGGCCGTCCGTCTAGTGTGATATCACACAATTTCGTGTCGACACGTCGCCTACGGGAATTACCGAGCTGTGGGCTTACGACATTTATACGTAGGTGAAGCTATTCGTTTTACATATGTGACTTTAATTGTCTAATGGATTTTATCGGGAGAACGTTAAAGTTTTCTCGTGACGTTAGAAGAATCGTTACGTCGAGAGGATTAAAACAGAGAGAAAGTAAAATAGAAAATTTTTTAATCCGACTTTCTGTACTTAGTTTTAGCGAACAGGTGAATCGAGGAATATGTAGGCGAAGGATATTGTTAGTGGCATTTCGAAGCTGTCGAGTGACCCAGTTTCCTATCCACCTGTTCGGTATACGGTTACGACTGTTTCTATTACTTGTAAAGCGAGTTTGACATCGGACCAGGCACAAATATAATGCTGAAATTAAACAAGGTTGATAAGAAAAACTCACTTAATGCTTTTTATCTGCAATAAATTAAAGAATTTTGTACTGTCGCAATTTTCCAAAACGCTTGTCACTCGGTGTTTCTTGCATTTTAAGTATTGTAATCCCTAACGAAGGATGCTAAATTTTGTATTTTTAAGTATTTGCTTTATATAATGTTATATAAAACAAAAAAAGGGGTAGTTTTATAAATTAACAGAAATAAATTACACAATAACACTAGTTGGAAATTGGAATAGAATTTTACAAATCTAAAACCACAGATACAACAAAGAGAACAGTTTAATTAATAAATAATTTTTTTAAAAAGTAATGATTTTAGAAACTNTACAAATAAAAATAATAATATACTGAATTTCTCATGGTGTACCTTACTAAAACGCAGCCAAAAATGTAAAAAAAAACCACATCAAATAATAATATACTGAATTTATTGTTAATTTAAATAATAGCTAGGGGCATCCCTAATGGCCATTTTTGGCATACTGTGACAAAACCCAGTTTTTCAGCTTTATATAGTAGATATTATAACATTGAAAGCTTCAAAATCTAGTTTCTTTTTGGATAAAAGTTATAATGGACAAACACAGATGCTTAAGATATAAAAAGTAGAAATGGTATTTTTTAGCTATTTTAACAAGCATTTGTGTATTAGTCATTTAAGGATCACTTACGGAATTCACATAAGGAATTTACCATGTCAGATGAGATGATTAGAATAAAGATTAATTTATGATAATTATTATATAGCTATAAGTATATTAGAATAAATGAATTACTTTTAACTCAAACTAAATAATCAAAGTTTAGTGTGTGCTTATGTAAGCATGTGTTTGCATATATTTCTTTCTGACTTTCTTGCCTTCGTTTTGCAATTTTATTCACACTATTAATTTGCATGTTATATTTATTTAAAAGTTTTATCGATATTATACTTCTACAATATAAAAATTACAATATATAAATGAATTATAGATAAACATTTCTATTTAAACTTTCTAACAAACATGTCATTTTCAAATATTTGTGATTTCAAACTGAAAATGGCCTAAAATAGGTTGAAAGCATTTCTGTTTCAATAAGTAAGTTTGGCTTTTTTGAAGAAATCCCTTTCATTTATGTAGTTTACAAAATTGTACCAGTTTTTATGTAATTTGTTGAATATAACTGTACTTCTTTCGTTATTGCACTTGTATTAAATAATCATACCTGAAAAAATTTAAAAATGCAGTGATATTTTTAACTTTCAAGCATTTTGTCATTTTTATTGACCTTCTTCAGGAAAAATGGCAATTGAATGATGGTTTTCATTTGACATGAATGAAATATAAATGTATTTCTGATGAATATAATTTGAATATTACTATTCTAGAACCAAAAAAGAAATTCAAAATGAGCAATGGCCAAACTTTTAAATAATATACAAATGAAAAAAGTACATAACTAAAATACTGTACAAAAAAATAATAAAAACAATAGAAAATTAAAAATTATTACTGTATTTAATTTTGACTAATATCAGTAATAATTTTGCATTCTTTCTGAGTAAATATCTGATTAACACAAAAACAGTGTTTAAAAAACTGCAAATCAGCAGTAGTAGAGATATTTTCTTTGAAAACATTAAATGCTTGAAGTAATCATTACACATTCAATGAAGAGTAATAGAAAATGTGGTAATGTTTGAAGTATAATACCTTTTAAGCTGCATACCAATAGTAATCCATTTACACTAGGAAAATTAAATGAGATTAAACTAAGGGGTGTTTGGAAATGAAAGAGTTACTTAAGAAACAACTACTAAAATCCGATACATTATATAACTAAAGCATAACCTAACCTAATCTGTATGTTATTGGGCTAAATAACGGCTATAATAATAATAATAATAAATTACCAATTCTGCCAGAGGTCCAGATACTACACGTTTGGTTACGACTTTGGTAGTGACGGGACTGTTGTGTCCGCTTAGCGAACTGCCTTCTCTGTCCGACTGCATACCGACTGTCACCTGTAAAAAAAAAATAAAAGATTTTATAAAATTTTCTCGTAAGTAACTTAAGGTATCGATTGGCACGCATTACGATTTTATACGCTAATTATCATTCTTAACACGGGGTTAGAAAATCTCCGGTCACGAACTAGCCATTACAGTTAGGACGTGATCATAGGGCATAAGTTTCTGCCATTAATGTCATTTGTCTATAAAAATCCGTTCTTTCTTACGAGTTTATTCATCAAAAGCACTTTGGAGGCCAAAATTTAGGTGAGGGAAAAATTGGTGACTTTAATCAGGTTAACGACTACAAAAAATATAGTGAAATGTCAAAAATATTGCGTTGCGTGTTACCGACATTTTAAATACGTATTTCGTAATTCTTCAATTACGTAGAGAATAAGAAAATAATAATAATAATAAATGCCGATAAATTTGAAATTTTATCAGTTATGTTTCCCGGATGAATATTTTTTCTATTCAAATCAAGAAAATATTAATTATCTTGATCTAGACGTTCCGCTTCTGTATATTACACGGTAATACACAAAAACTGGGAGGTTTATATACGAATAAACACTGTTAGGTAGTGCCCGATTAGATTCTAATTAAAATTTCGAGAGAAAGATGCATAAATTTACCGCAACAATTTAAAGGGTTGGACAGAAATGCACCTAATCACCCAAATAACCAGGTTAAGCGTGTCACGACATTATGGCACCGTCTCGTTGCTGCTACATCGTCCCGACCTCATTCACACTAAACTTTCTTATAGTCTAAACCCGAATCTTAAAAAAAAAAAAAATAAAATAAATCAAATCCCGAATACTAAAACATTCAGATGATTTCCGAAAATTAAGTCATGGTGACTCAGCCAACACGAAGCAGCAGCAACACCTGCAACGAATAATGCTGCCATTTTTTTTTTATTCATGTAACAAGCCTGGAAGTTGTTTTTATAAAAGCTTTTGATTCGATAGAAACGAATATAAGTCTAGTTTTTCTTGGCAGTTTAATAGGAAACAATATAAATTTACCAAGAAGGTGGGGTTTATAATATCGTGGGTGTCGATGACGACATCAAGGTCTTGTGTTATCTCGTCTACCAAATATGGTTTGAATTTTCTTTCTGTAAGAAACGAATCTACGTAAAAATCCGTGCCACTTGCCAAATTTATTCTTTTGCACTATCCTAAACGAGAATCGGGACACACGTTTGCAGTTTAACAAGATTTTTACTCTTAGCCTAAACGTTGCACACAATTCTGTAATATAATTCGTTGCGACGATACTCCGGTGTTACGGTTTAAAACAGTTTTACGACGAAGATACGTCTACCGCGGCAATAAGATCGTGACCCTGTAGTAGACGCAAATATACGGAAGAAACGTGACGCAATTTCGGCTACACCCACCGTGACGACAAAAGCGACTGTTACCTTCCCGAGTAAACAACGCCGTATCACGTGATAGTATATTACGGCGCGGGAAAGAGACCACGACCTTAAACAGAATAAGATTACAAAAAAGAAATAACAAAAGACAATTAAGTTAAAGCTAAAAAAAAGAAGAAGAAGGAACAATACGAAAGAAAACACGCAAAACAATTTCTAAAGTCGACGGGGAAAGTGAAAGTTGTCATGTCCAACTCGACCGGATAATAATTATATAGAAGAAAAACTGGCTGGATTCTACCCGAAAGCGGGAACAACCCCAGAACAAATCGACAGAACGATAAAAATGGAATAGTGTTGTGCCTATCCTTTCGATAGGTTTATTTATCTCGGGCGGTAAAAATCTCGACGAGGATTAGAAAAGATTAAATCTACTTACCTAACACACATAACACACTCTCACAACAGGTAACGAGACTGTCCCGAAACTGCTCTCCCGCCGACGTC